TGTTACTTCAATCCTCAATGTTTACTACACATACACATGAAAATCATAACTCTCCCGGCCAAGAGGCCGGGCCCTAATCTAGTATATATATATTCTGGAGGCCCAAAACTTGTTATGGATTGAAGAGGCCCCAAACTTCATGTGAAAGAGGAGAAAGAAACAGTTGGGCCCATAAATTCTCTGGAAAGAGGAGTCAGGTGCAGATGGGCCTTTAATATATTATAGGTTGATGAGGCCCCAATTTCTTGAGTCCCTGTGATGTGGGTCTGACCAGCACAGGACCTGGGCCGGGCCTGTATACACCTAATTTAGGTAAAAATATAATTAACGCTCTATGTATAGAAGAACGAACTCTACATCTCCATTTTTGTCGGAAACAGAGCGCTAAGGGGCGATCCAACCCTTAATTATTGACTAAACGAGGGGTTTGAACCCCAATAATGTCGTAATACAACCAATACCCCAACCGCGGGTCCGGCGTGTCAAAAATATGTAAGGCCATCGGATGGGAATGACCCATAGAAGCCAAGTAGTCAACCACAAAGTTGCCCTCCCGAAAGACATGTCTGATGGTAATCTCCCAATCCAACGTCAAGAGCGTTGGATAGACTGCAGAAGCATTCGATGAGGGTGGGTTGAAGGGTTCGCCTGTATCAACGTGATACACTACCCAAATAGGTGGGGTAAATTCATCATAACAATCATTTATTATTTTCTTATTTACATGAAAAAATACATCAATAATGGGATTTGAACCATGGTCTTTTTGAACAAAGATAAGAAACACAACCAGTTACACTACCCAAATTTATTAAGAGTTTTTAAATTAAAATAACATGAAGTTTAAATTTGAAAAATCACAGGACTTTTCCGCCACGGTTAGCTAACTCACTAACTCTCCCGTAAATATTTTTATTGGGTTTTATACTCTTTGATTTGATATTTTGTTTATTCTAGTTCGTGTTTAATAATTAGTTTGATTTCATTTATTATCTTATAAAAGAAGGATAATTTTAAATCGCAACCCAAATGTCATTAATTGGTTCAAATATTATATATCGAATCGCACTATTGAATGTGCAGAAGCGATGTAGACTCCTTAACATAGACCTAATTTTTATAACTACCATAAAGCAACGAAATTTTTTAACACAGAAGTTTTGGATGAATATGAGGCACATGTGTCTTTATTAGAGGAATAAATATGAAAAAGTTAAGTGATGTTGGTTTGCCGAACATGGATGGAAAAGACACTACAAATTTAAACGGGCCCAATTAGTGCCCCGACCCACTAAACACATCGTCGTCTCTCTAAACTTCTCATCGGATTCAACAACCGGCTAACCTCCTCCATCTCTATTGTTACGCTAGAGCAATTTTCGAAGGGCAAATATGGAAAGTTTGAGCGTTGTTGGTTTGCTGAACGCGGATGGAAAAGACGCTACTAATGTAAACAGGCCCAAATAGCTGTCCGACCCACTGAACACTCAACCACCGCGCTTACTTTCACTACACCTATATAATATTAAAATAGAAAAGGTACTTCCCCCGTTACAAAATTCTTGCATCAATAGCAAAAGTAGGAAGGATTGATTCGTCTTCATAGTCATTTATTATTTTTTTTATTTACGGGAAAAAAAATACATCAGTGATTGGAATCGATCTATGGTATCTTTGAAAAAAGACAAAAAAAAAACATAACGAGTTACACTAAACAAATTTGTTTAATCTTTTTAAATTAAAAACATACAGGAAGCTTATATCTAAAAAAACATAGGAATTTTTTTCACCATAGTTAGCTAGGCCACAAACTCTCCCGTAAATATTCTTTTGGTATTTGATACTTCTATTTTCATATTTTGATTATTTTAATTCGAGTTTAATAATTTATTCTATTTATGTTTTTATAAAAGATAATAATTTTAAAATCGCAACTCTAATGTCATTGGTGCAAATACTGCATACTGAATTACGGTATTGAATGTGTAGAAGCGATGCGGAATTCTTAACATAGACTTATATTTTATAACTATCATAAAACAACAATATTTTTGAACACAGAAGTTCAAAAAGCAGTCCAAACTGTCAGTTCACGCTCGCTAGGACCGTGAACTGGAGCCACGAACCGCGAACTCAATAAGTGAAAGCGGTGCGTTTTGGCTATGTTCACGGTCCAGGCCAGATGTTCACGGCCGTGAACTAGGACCACGAACTGGGCTCGATCAGTGTATAAAAGGGGAGCTGAAAGTAAGAAGAAGGGGGAGCCCAAAGTTAGAGAAACCTTCTTCTTCTTCTTGAAACTCTAGATAGAGAAAGTCACGAACCAAGAGGGAGAAGAGGCTAGGGTTTGCTCCAAGTCAAGAATTGAGAAGTTCCTCTTCAAGGGAGGATCTCTACAAGCACAAGGAAGGATTGAGGCATCACAATGATGGCTTTTTCCTTTTTCCTTTGTGTTCTTCCTTCTTCTAGCATGGAGTAGTCTCCTATTCACTTGGGTGTTGTACAACCCTAACTTCTATCATGTAGTTGATTGTGTGGATTGAATGATTGTGTGTGGGTGATGTTTAATTTAAGCTTTGAGGTATTGTTCATGATGATTGTGCATTGTGTGTGCTCGGCAATCTATTGTGCTACCCTAACCTAGCTTAGAGAGAATTTCTATTTTCTTAAGAGGCTCAAATTGAGCTGGGTTTTCTTAGACATTCCATGCCTCCTAACTAGGTTAATGTAAGACAAACCTCTAAACTCAAATTAGACACCTAAGTTAATTGTGATTAAGCCATCCAAACCCCAGTTTGAGGGAGAAGGTAAGTCAACCCTCTTTTACTTGGGCCAAGAGGGCTACTTTCGTAGCCTATAATGCATTCCTTGGCTTAGCGATTGAGAGTGTGGTTTCCAACCACTATTGCTCCACCTACGGTTCACAATAGCCTTGTCGCACACCAATTCATTCGATCTCATAGTTCATGATAGTTAGTTAGTGGGAAACAACCCTCGAGTGAAGCTTCTCACCAAGAATTTAACCTTTTTACTTTTAAAGCCTTGCACTTTTAATCATAGATTGTATAGATTCTTACAAACTACATTCCGCTAGATAACGTTTCAAACAATTGAAGTACGGGTACATGGACCAGCCCGGGTTGATATTTAAACATACTTTTCCTATATTGCACCCATTTAAGCCTTTTACTTGGGCCTTAGGTGGGATTTAAGTGTGATTCGGAGTGGGTCAAATTCCCTACACTGTGATGCATCCACGTCAGCTCCACATTTTCCTCTCTCTGTTTCATGTTCTCCGTTTATTTTTATGGAACCGCTAAACAATAGAAATTTCTTAGCTCCCACCTTGATTAGACGCAGAAGCTCCAATCAGCCATGTAAGAGTTTCTCTAAACTTTCGTTATCCTAAATTCTCTTCCTCTCTCCGTTTGAAGTTCAACTTCAACCACACTTTCTTTCTTCTTCCTCTTCCTCTGCATCCAAATTCTTCTTGCTTTCTTCATTGGCCTTTTAGCTTTTACATAAGTTGCCCGTTTTTGCTCAAGTCGGAGAGGAATCATTCCAATTTCTATAAAAAACAAATTGGATATACATATATAAGTATTATTGAACGGACTGAAATTCCAAATTAACAAGAGGTAGGGTACAAAATCCTAGCCTATAAACCCCTGCAACATGTGGTCGTATTATCATGTCGTGATACAATGATAGATCGGGAATTTTATAGATCGAAGTTTTATACCGAAACCCAGGAATTTTTCAAAATCAAACTTATTCATTTATTTCCTACTCTTTTCTAATCCAAAGCAAAAATATGAATAATAAAGATAGTACATACAAAGAACTAAGAACCAACAAATGTTAAGTGTACATAGTATTTATAGAAAATTTTAGTCATTTTGAATACTAATAATTTGTTTGGCGAAGGATGCTTCGATAGAGATCATAACAGATGATGCATTTAATGCTTAACATACTTCGCGCAGAACCTAAGAAGATGAGCAAAGAAGCTATGATCACTTTAAATGTTCAATTAAATCATAGAAATTGATTATCACGCATTCTAATTATTCTAAAAATTTGAAGAAAATATGATGAAATTCAATATACAATAACAAAAGCTATAAAAACCATTACGAAAAGATGCTTATTATAGATATAGAGTTGTAATTAACCCGGCTTGATCAGTAAAGAAGTTATGATCACCTTAAATGCTCAATTAAATCATAGAAATTGATTATCACGCATTTAGATTATTCTAAAAATTTGGAGAAAATGATGAAATACAATATACCATAAACAGAGATAAACAAAACTATTACGTAAAGATGCTGATTATAGATATAGATTTGAAATATGAAATTAAAGTGCTTATTCTTAAGGTTTTATTTTCAAAGTGCTTATTATATTTTATACATATAGATATAGATTTGGAAAAAAAATATTATGAAATATAGTTTAGAATAATCAGAGATATAAAAATTATTAAGTAAAATGTCATCGAGTTTTCCTTTAACGAGAAAAGATGAATACTTCTAAATTTGCAAAATACATATTTTATGAAAAGCAGAATTGAAAAATTCCCGGCCGGGTAATTACAAGGGTGGTTAACAAAAAGAGACTTTGTAAAATACCTATTTAATCTTGGGTTTATAAGCACCGAATGACAAATAGATATCTTTGGTTTAGTAACACATAGATTTTTCTTTTCTTTTCCAAACACAAATAGATTCTGATCAAAGGCGCAAGAGATAAAAACATCTTGGTTATACAGGACATGTTTGGGGTTAATGTAAAAGCTGTAATCGGACATGTATTATCCACAATCGATCAGAAAGCAGCTTGGTAGACGAGGAAACCCAGAAAAATGAATTTATATAAGCATCCCATGATGGCATGTCCGGCCGGCCGGCCGGCAGGTTACTGTAGTCTAATATTTACATTCTTCCTTGCGATCGAGTATATATATAAGCGAGTCCATTTATTGCTTTATATAACTTGACCTAGATAGCTAGCTCGTACGTACCATACCATACAGAAGAAGATAATTTATATATGGCGAAGCTGCAGCTGGGTACTGCCTTGTGCAGAAAGTTCAGGCCGCACATGTTCATGATTCTGGTACAGATTTGCTATACGATTCTCTACTTCATCACTGAAGCTTCTTTCAAACATGGCCTGAAACCGTATGTTTATGTGACTTACCGGCACCTTGTCGGGACGGTTTTCATGTTCCCTTTCGCCTACTTCCTTGAAAGGTACGTAAGAGTTACATATATCGTAGTTTGCCCCACTTCTAGGAAGATCTGATCCGTGCTTAAGAATCTATATATTCTTGGCTACAGGGCGCAGAGGCCCAAGCTGACATTAGTCCTTTTCCTAGAGATCTCCTTCCTGTCGCTCCTGGGGTAAGACCTTTCACAAACTTCATCCCTGCGTAAAAATGGTCGTGAACCAGCTGGTCCCAATAATACGAGTTGTTGATCATAATATCATTTACTAACACACCCCCTCAAACGAAAAGCCGACTCATATGGGTTTGAAATTTGCATGTGTTTAACAGAACAAATGGGGTCGTCGAGAATCAGACAAAAGATCTATATGTCATGAAACACTCTGATATCATGTTAAGAACCCGTTAATCCGACTCAGGGGCGGACCCAAATGAGTTAAAGGGTTGTCAATTGACAAACCTTAAATCAAAATTTTGGACAAGAAGTTTGTGTACAATTTTTATTTTAGTGATGATATGAATTTGAAACTATTTGACAACCCTTAGGCAGGGCCGGTTTGCTCTACCTTTGAAAACTCTTGATGAAATTTCTGGGTGCGTAACACTAAATCCCAATAACTTGAGTTGTTGAGAGAAGTTCAATTATGTTTTATGAATCATATACCATTTAGCTTCATCACAATCGATTCCACTCACGGAATCTAAGTTTCTCCGATGATTGGCTTGCTTCATGCAGGGTGGGTTTGCCTATGAACATGTACTTTATGAGCTTGAAATACACTTCACCAACTTTTGTTGCTTCAACCGTGAACATCATAGTTCCTTTGACATTTGTTATAGCAGTTGTGATGAGGTTGGTTTCCCTTTTTTCTGCATCATGTAATTAGTCTTACGTACTCAATCCTTCAAAGTTGATTACCAACTTCTTTCTATCAGGTTGGAGTCTCTTAATCATCGGCATCCTCGAGGAATAGCAAAGTTTTCGGGTACCTTAATTTCGTTATCTGGTGTAATGACCATGGCACTGTTCAAAGGTCCCATCGTTAAACAATTATGGCGTCCACTGATAAAGATAGAAGCGTCACAGACTGATGATGAGAACCATGAGAAGTGGGTGCTGGGTTCTATTCTTATGGTTGCAAGTTGCTTTATATGGTCCTTTTGGTACATTATGCAGGTTCCGATCCAATTCTATCTTATTTACATGATATTGGTCCCAACGATATATGTTTCGTTTTCATGAGATTTTGGTTAGAAAAAAACTAAGTTGGTATCATAATTCGAACAGACACTATTACTATATCAAATTTCGAACAAAATTAATTTTTTTTTTTGTGTTCTATATATAAGATGATATCAAATTTTATATATTTTGGAGAAGTTGTATTTTCAATCATCTTCCTAGTTACCACAATGGTACGAAGTCTTTTTATAGTGATGACACCATAATAGTATGACAGCGATGAGATCTCAGACAATTATATGTTTTGAAGATATGATTTTGTTGCTTAAAAATTTAGTAAAGTAGATATCATCGTATAGAACATATATAATTAATATTTTTTACAATTCAGATGAAAGAGGGAGTGGATCGCTGGAGATCGTGATATGAGTCATCTTATAGATAGATATGAGTCAATCAATCATGCATATTTTCCTGATACTAATAAGGAATGGCTTTGTTAGCATTGATAATTTCCCACTTTAGCTTGAAAACAAATTAGTAGAATCGTTTCCATGCAATGACTAAATTTGTTAATCTTCAGGAATAGAATGACCATTAAAAAAATATGTTACATAATATGTTTAAAAATATGTTACATAAGGTTTCCACATCAACTTGCCACTTTATGTCATGCAATGCTATTATTCATTACGTAGAAAGACTATGCAATACACAAAACTTACGCAATATCATTTTACAATTACTACTTAAGATACAAATTAAAAACATGAGAAATTTTACAATGCTATATAGTATTGGTGCTATAGGTTTTTGCCTTTATGGTACAACTTAAAATTGTACATTTACGTTATGGTACAACTTCAGATTGTATCTATACTTTTTGTACAAATTCTTTTATGGTACAACGTGAACTTGTACCTTTATGTGATGGTACAACTTCAAGTTGTAAAGTTGTACCATAACATAAGGGTACAAATTGTTTTATGGTACAACCTAAACTTATACATTTAATGTTATGGTACAACTTTAAGCTGTACATTAAAGCACCAATACTATATAGCATAGTAGAAGTGCTCTAAAAACATTACTTACGATACATATTAAAGACATTACACAAAATAAACACTTTTTACTTAACAATAAAACATGCATGTTAATATTCATTACGTAAGAAGACCATCCATTACATAAGATTTACGTATCATCATTCTACAACCTTTTTTTTTTCTGAACAACTTCTACAACTATTACATAAGATACAAATTGATTACTTAAAAGTTACATGATGACAGTTACACGTAACTGTTTAAGAAATATGTTTTCTAAAGTTTTCTTAATTGCTTTGCACCTTATGTAACTTGATATTAGTATTCATTAGCAAAAAGGTTGAGTTATTGAACTTTTCATTCATTAAGGCCCCCATAATTGAGTTTAACTTCGCTGATTATTACAAATTTGAATTTAAATTGCAGGCCTTAACGCTCAAGAGATATCCTGCTCAGCTATCTTTGACAACATGGATGAGCGCAATTGGAACCCTGCAATCAACAGTTTTTGCCATTATCGTAGAACGTGAAAGGACTGCTTGGAGAATCGGTTTTGATATTGATTTATGGTCTATTATCTATGGTGTAAGTAAACTTCTGGCATGCATAGACTACTGCATTTTTGTGAAAACAATTGGTTTTACGGGTGTTTTAACAGGGCAGAGGTGTTGAGTTATGTGTTAGCAGAGTTGAAACTAGGATCTTTCTTTGAGTTTGAAATTGATCTGATGTTATCATTATAAAAAACACTTACGATGGGTTGATTTTTCTTTCAGGGAGTAGTAATCTCAGGATTCGTGATCTTCATTCAGCTATGGTGCACAGAGGAAAAAGGGCCTGTCTTCGTCACCATCTTCGGTCCTCTTACAACAATTATGGTGGCATTTCTCGCTTACTTTATCTTGGGCGAGACACTCTACTCTGGAAGGTTTGTTGTATATATATATAATCACAACCTTCATTTTTCCTTTGTTCTTAGTTGCAGAAATGGAAAAATGGCGTTATATATCTAATGTGTACGTCGATCGTGGCTTAATTGTTCAGTATAATCGGGGCTGCGTTCGTCGTCATTGGATTATACTTATTACTCTGGGGGAAAGAAGGCGATGGAGAAGAAGCAGTTGGAGTGAAACCTGAAGAAACCCATCCATCTTATAGTAGTAGTGAGCAAATAGAAATAGATAGACAAAAAGCTCTTTCAGCTTAATAAGAGAAATTGTATGTCGTTCTCACAGTAGATGAGACCTACGTCCACAAAACAATGAAGACTTTTTCATTGATGATCAGCCAATGGCCATGCACGATTCATAATATACACTTCTTTACTAGCAACGATAGGGTTTACAATTAATTTCAAAGGTCTTTCGAGACTTTTTGAGTCTTTTACAACGCACAACCATGTTGGACAACAAGACTTTGACTTGAATATATAGTTGCGCTTACTCATTGCTCCTCAGCTGGGTCGAGACTACTACTTTGGCCCAATAAGCCCCACAAGTGGTAGAGATCACGGTGTGCAGCTTGGACAATAAAAACTTGAAACGATCCGCACCAAGGCTTTTAGTGAAAAGATCAGCAAGTTGTAACTGCGAGCTAACCTTATAAGGGGTAATGTCGCGAGAAAGAATATGGTCCCAGATGAACTAACAATTTATTTCAACGTGTTTGATGCGTTCTCAGAAGACAGGATTAGTATAAATGTGAAGGGTCGCATGATTGTAATAGGATGAGTGATAGAAACTCCAAGTTCATAAAGTAGCCAACATAACCCAAGAATTTCACCAACAAGCTAGTCATAGAATAATACTAGCTCGGCCTCTGCAAAAGAATGAGCAACCACCTTCTGCTTCTTAGTTCGCCAAGAGACATGAGCATCTCCCAAGAGATGAAAAAATCCATTTGTTAACCAATGAGTGCTTTCACATCCACCCAATCATCGTCACAATAAGAAACTAAATCAAGAGACCTATTGGCTATAAAATAAAGACTCTAACCTTGAGATTCTTGAGATAATATAGAATAACACAGATTGTTGCACCCCTATGAGCATGGGTAGGAGCATGCATAAACTGACTAAGAATATTAACACCATAGTTGATGTTTGGACGAGTGACAGTCAAATACTGAAGTTAGCTTGACAAACGACAATATGAAGAACCTTCGACAAGACATCCGATGATGGACAAGTGAAATGATTATTTGTTCAACTGGAAAGAATTGGGTCGTGAAGCTTGAACGTCAGCTTTTGCAAGAATATCCTTACTGTATTTATTTTGACTAAAGGATAACCCCACATGGAGAACGTGCCATATTAACACCCAAGAAATAGAGAAGAGTGTCCAAATCTTTAACACTGATAAATTAACATTAAAAAAAAAAGATTTGGCCTTACCAATAAAAACTAAATAATTTCTGGTTAGTAGGATGTCGTCAACATAAATAAGATCTGTAACGAGTATCATCTTGACAAAAAACAAAGAGAGAATGATCGCCAGGTGATGACTGATCTAGTAAGTAACCAAGATTGTATTCTCTCAGCGCCTTTCAAATCTCACTACTTAGTCATTGATGATCTTGTTCTTATTTAAAATCGTGTTTGAGGCTGAGGTGCCTGGAGCTTTGCAAACGTTTTGTAAAATAAAAGATGCAAAAAATGAATGTGGTAAAGAAAAGGAGGAAAGATAATAGAAAGATGCATTCTTTAGGCAACACTCCCTTAGATTTTCCTTAGACACGTATCACTAAGATGACATATGTTATATGTATATAGGTGATTACTAGAATTCACATGTATTCGTCCACTTATTATGCTTTAATATCCTTCAACCGATGGATATCTTCTTTGAAGATGGACTAAAGTGACAAATGGGTCAGCCAATCAGTCATGCTTGTCCTGATTACCCTTTCGCATGTATATTCCTTTGGTGTGCAATCAATCATGTAGATTTCCTCCTTGTAATCCAAGTAAGGTGGAAAATGATCCATCGTCAAGTATTTACTCAGAGAATCTAAAATTTCTAAACCCCTGTCAATTGTGCTTAGGCATTGCTATCCTTCACTTACACAATCAAGAAAAAATCAGAATAATATGATCAGGCTCTGATGTCCATTACTTCTCTTACTGCTCCCATGCAAATCTAACAAGGATCAAACTAGGATCCGATTCCACAAACCCATTTCTAACAAGGATCAAACTAGGATCCGATTCCACAAACCCATTTCAAGCTGGATGAGGAAAGTATCGAAATCCCAGCACAAAAACAGGATAGGTGCATAGTTGCTATCATCAAAGAGTACATTATATCAGCATAAGATAATTAAATTTATTCTATAGAACAATTTCATCTGCCTACATTTCTGGTCGATTCTCAGCAGCAAAAAGAGTTTGCTGATTCCCAAATGTCAAACCAAACCAAAAGGGGACAGAGCAGTTTGTATGTACAAGTTAAGCGACCCAAATTCAATGGGGAGAAAAAATTGTTGGATGGTTCAACAATGACTACATCCTTTTGAGTAACAGTCAAGAACTAAGCAGCAGGAGGCCTTAACTCGTGATCACGAGATGTGTCGTAGGCAGCTGGAGGCAAATACTGCCACATAGGTACCAGACTATAGCTGGGATACATAGGAGGCATCTTTGTTGCCCCAGCATGATAGGCTGCTGCTGGCATAAGCCCGGGAGGAGGAGTAGGAACAGCCATAGCTTTCACATGTTGCTCCATCTTTTCCTTGTCTGCCTTCAAGGTCAGCTTCTCCTCGCGGAGTTCATTCTTCTCAGCCTGTTATAAATGTCAGCAATCAAAACACAATTTGCATCTAAAGCGATACATAAGAAAATGATGGTTCGAGTAACCAAATAATGAGATCACATCAGCAAGCCACCAATCAAGATTCAAAATTGGGCATGCTTGATGAAACTCAAACCTTCAAACTTTTAATTTCTTCTTGTAATTTTTCATTTGTATCTTTGAGCTCCTTTGCCTCGGATTTCAACTGGGTGAGAATTCTAATGGCATCATCAATTATGGCTGGTTTGTCAGCTTTAGCGGGTCTCCCAGGCTCCAACACAGCACTTAGATCCTGAAATCTGCAAATTAATTTTCCAGTCAAATTAATACACATTGTTCGAACTCAAGACGTTCAAGGAGACAACATCACATAGTAGAAAATCCAGCTTGTTATAAACATGTCTCGGCAGGCTCGCTCACCAACCCATCAGGTAATACTAAATGATAAGGGTGTAAGCAGAAAATGGGGTTGAAAGGGGGGAAAAAAACAGAGACTTGAAACAACCAAGCTACCTGTCATTCAATTTCTCTCTTCGCAGCCTCTCACGGCATGCTTTCGCACCAGGCTTGCTACATGAATCACTACGTACCCTGCATAAACAGAGAATAGACAGTGAAAACTTTGAACCAACAAATTTTACGCATAGAGTACTTCATCCGGTACCAACCACTGTACATATACTAAGAGAATGCAGGGAAAACACGGAATTAATTTAATCCTAACGCCTAAGGTAGAAGCTCCGTTCTTCCACTTTCCCCCATACTCTAACAAGCTGTAACCAGTTCCACATATTCAGAAGCACTGACTTGAAAGTATGGGAATTTTTGGGTTTCTCGTAAGTCAAACCAGAATACCTCTTGCGGGTGGATTCCTTCTCTTGTGAGACAGCAACACTCGATGAGAAATCAATTTCCACGCTTCCACTGCAAAACAGAAGGATGGTATCAGCAACCAGCTTTTTTGGCGGATTTTCAGTCAAATTCACAAACCAATGCAAAATCCCAGTCTCACTCAAGAAACCCATCATAGAAATTTCCAAACTTTCATATTCCGATCCTTCCAATTGTTCTTACTAATCGGATTCCCCGAAAGCGTCAAACAGTTCGACAATCAGAACCCCAAATTCACCCTTTCAACAAAAGGATATAGAAATACAGAACAACACGACAGAAAGTTGAGAGGAGGGCTAGGAAGAGATCTGGAATTTGTAGAAGCGAGAAGGAGCAGGTACCTGTTACTACTAGGCCAAAGAAAAGAAGAAGACGCAGTTTCGTCGATGAAATTATCGAGAAAATCCCAGCAAAGGCTGTCGTCTATTGGATCCATGGAGAAGATCTTCCACGAAAATGGTTCTCTGCGGCTTCGATTCTTGATTGGTGGGTTAGGGGTGTGAGGAGTTTGAAGTTTGAGGTCGAAAAGGGATTTCGGGCAACCTGAGAAGTGATGAACAATGATTTGAAGGGAAAAGGAGACTGATAGAGACGAAGATACCCCTTCCCTGACTTTTGGTCTTACAGAACAACAGTGACATCGGGAGAAAGAAGGAAAGATTATCGAGAGGATAGATGTGGTTAAAACTTAAAACACAGCCAAATAGGATCTTAAAACTTAAAACACAGCCAAATAGGATCTTAACACGTGGAAATATATTTATTTATTTTTAATAAATAAATAAATAATATATAGAGTAAAACGTCATGTACGCCTAGCTTATATTATACCATACGTTCACACTTATTATTTTCACTTGATATATTTTGATGAATCATAATCATCAATTATTATTTTAAATTAAATGGAATGTTGTCATACTCGAACCGGAGCACGACCCAAAAACGTGAATAACTCACACTTTAGTGGTCCAACCGATATTGGACCGTTAAAATACAGTTAGAGAACCAACATCTTTTAAACAATAATATCTAGTAGAAGACAAATATAGTATATTAATAATTTAGTGACCGAAATAAAATTTACTTTCTAGGTACCACTTAATAATTTGACATTATATATGAAAACCCCACTCCACACGGCCGCTCACCTCACTCCCTCTCAGTGGCGGACTCAGGAGGCACACCCCTAAATTGCGGAAAAACGATTATCCAACTCTCGATGGTAATTTACGTATGAACAAAAAAATTATAATTAATAGTCGAGACACCCTGAAATTTGAAAAAAAAAACAATTATCCTACTCTTGTTTGTAGTTTGCGTATAGAAATATAAGTGGTAGTTTTGGTAATTCAAACTCGGGACACTAATACTATTAATAAATATAATTTCCATTAGACTACAACTATTTTGTTGTTCTATTCTAAACATTGTGTAATAGCAAAACTCTATTCTCTATCTTTAATTATTTCCAAAACCTAACAATTAATCTAATTACAAGCTACCTTTGATTTGTATTGATGTTATGGTTGTACAACAACTCAACAAGTGTTAAAAGTGCTTTTTCAGCTTTGAGTTACATCATGAACAAATTTAAAAGTCGAATATGCGTCAGTTCGTGAATGATTGTGTAGTAGCCAGCGGGATATACCGAGACAACTTTGTTGAGCAGACACAAAGTCTATTTTACAATTTTTTCAAAATATGAAAATACATCTTGGAGTTTTTAACTTGTACGAGTTGGATATTTTTCTTATTTAAGAATTATTTAATTTTTATTTTTATTTTAATTTATTTTTTGAAAGAGGACACCCCTATGTAAACTTTCTGGGTCCACCACTGCTCTCTCTCTCCTTTCTATCTTTCAA